AATAAATCCTAAAGCTGTACAGTGGCAGGCAGTGAGGTGCATTTAAGACTAAACTACCTGTTTTGTAAGTAGGAGATTAGCACACTTGCTTGTGTAATTCCACTTTACACTGCTGATGTAAAATATATGTGCCCAGAGAGCAGCCACCCCAGCAGGTCAAATGCCTACAAGCAATATAGAAGGGCTCCAAGCCAAGCGGGTCTGTAGAAACCAAAATCCTATCAATGTTACTGTCAACTGAAGAGACAACGGAACAGATTTCGTTGTTCTTTTAGTAGTTTCCTAAAGCTAAACCATTTTGACCACTTGTAATAACCTAGTATTGCCAAACATTGTATAATCAAACAGGCTGACCATGATCAAAGCCCCAATTTTTCCTGAGCCTTGACTGCCTCTGTGATCTGGAACACAGCTGGCAGTACAGAAGTTATTATTACTTTTTTAAGGGGAGGGAACTTCCACAGGGATAGAAGGGAACTGGGGATCGAAAACTGTCTAACCATATATATACACGTAAAACAAGAGAGATCAAATTGACTAAATTAGCCGTTCAAAATCCCTCTTGCCAAAAAGTCATAACCTTCAGAATGGTTAAGCAACAGGATTCTGCTACTCAGATGCTCTGAGTGTGGGAAGCGCTGGTTTTGATAATTGTAGTCAGTTTTTGTTTCGATCTCCTCAGGCTCTTCTGCCTAAGACTACTCTGCCCAGCAGGGAAAAGCTTCACACAAACGTGTACCATGTTTCAGAGTGGTACCTTCCAAAGTGCCACAGTCTCCCCCACCCTATTCAGTTGTCCACTTCCTCCTCTTCATTCTGTTCTTCTTCTTCCAGCCTTTCCTCGTCTTCATCGTTGTCCTCATCCCTGCTCTTGTCTGGCTCTTCTGAATCTGTTTTTTTGTCTTTGTCCTTCTTCTTTTGCTCTGAAGCTTCCTTCTTACCTTTCTGCTCCCTCCTATATGCTGTAAGGAGGAAGGGGGGAGTTAGGAGGCAGGGCTGAACCAGACAGACTGCAGAAGCTAACTCCATTGAATACCTGGCAAAGCTGAGGCACAGGAGGAAAAATAACCTGAAGAGCGTCACAAAACAGATCTGAAGTCGTGCCAGCTGACCTGATTCTGAGTCACATCCAATACTTGCTTATGGGACTTAAAAGAGGCTCAGGCTGAGAAAGACTCACGACCAGGTGAGCGGGTCACACAGGATGCACATCTACTTGGCTGAGAAAACCAAAGGGTCGTTACCTTCCAGAGCTTCTTTTAACGGGTTGATGAACCGCTGGAACTCCATCTCCTCCATGGCAGAGAGCACATCACTGGCATTCAGTGTCTTCCGTTTCCCTTTCATCGCGAAGTTGTTGGCACTAAAAGAAGAAAAGAAGAAAGATTAAGTGCCATGAGAGGCTGTCAGAGCCCCCGTTGCCGCGTATGGAGCGGGTGGGAAAAGGAGCACCCATAGGTGGAACGGGAAACCCTAGGTCTTAGATGCATGGATTTTGATGACATGGTAAGCACCCTCCCTTCCCTGTACAAAAGGATTAAAGCAAACTTATTTTGCTTCAGAACTGGCAAGAAGTGGAGAACTGTGAATCTCTCTCCACTGAGATGGGACACAATTATTGGGGTCTGTGGGCCCCAGGCCAGGACCTCCGAGCCGGGGGATCTCTCACGCCTCCCCTATGCCTCGGCCCCCGCTGAGCTCTGGCGAGCTCCGTCCGGCTCACCAGGACGTGGCGTACAGCACGAAGACGCTGGCGGCGCGGGAGATGGCGCTGCGGGCCTCCTTGGAGATGTTGACACCGTCCGGGAGCTGTGGGGAGAGCTGGGGTGAGCGAAGCTGCCGGCCCAGGACCTGCTTCCCGCCTGCCCGCTCGTCCGCCCCGACCCTTCCGCCAGCCCAAGCTGCTCACCGCCTCCTTGATGATCCTGGTGATGACGGCGTTGGGGAGATTTAGGTCCTCGGGCCTCTCCGCCATCGCCGCCGCCGGGGCCCACGTCTCCGCCTCAGGCCTCCTCTTCAGGCTGCTACGGCGTCCAGACTTCCCGCGTCGCCACGATCTGACCCAACAAGGCTTCCGTGCCGCCCCCGCGTTGCTCACTCTGTGTCCCACAGTGCCCCGCGCGCCATAGCCTCCCTCCTCCCCCAGCCCCGCCTCCGCCTCAAGTTGCCGGTGCATCCGAACTTTGCACGCCGCTTTCGTTTTGGCCCGCCGGGGATTCCGTCTGACCCCATCGGCACCCAGCGTCCCTTCGCAGGCTCGTTTCTCTGCTCATGCCACCAAGTCTGGATGTCTCGCCTCAATTTAAGTTTGGCTCACTGGCGCTTCCGTCCATTCCCCATAGTGCTCTGCGCCGCTGCCTGGCGACGGCGCAGACTGGCGGCTAGCGTGGGAGACGAAGGCGTGGACTGAGCCGGCGGGGCGGGGCTCCTTCGGACGAGGGGCGGGGCCTGTCGGGCGGGGCCGCGCCGGGAGCGGTGATTTCGCGGTGGGCTTCGGTCTCTTAGCTGTTTGGTGTCTGCTGTTTGGTATCCGGGACCCGGGGTCCCCCGAGGCGGCGTTCTTCCACTTCCTTTTCCGGAACGAAGCGGGGAATCTTTTTTCAACTCTGCCGGAGCTGATGTCCATCCTTAATCTTTTCACTACTCCCGACTCTGTAATAATCGTGTTAAGAATAACTGTTAACTTAGAATTTTTGAACGCAGACTGCTTTGCAGCATAGCGCTAATGCTGGCAACACAGAGATGGGCATGACTAGACTGCTGGCTGGTCAGGTAACGAAAGGGCAACAAGCAGCCGGTTGTAAGAATAACGCAAGACCTTCGCGTTCCCAAACAAACCCTGTTAAAACTGTGTTTATTTTTTAGTTTATTGCGTTGTGTTCACCGTACACCTTTCCCGGTCAAAAACATTACCGTGCTTTTGCAGTGGCTTTTTAAGTTGTGTCATTTTCATGTTAGGTGCGCAGAAATTGTCCTCACTCCCACTGAGTACTAATGCTGCTCTCTTTCTTGAAACATGTCTCAAGTCACCCTGCTTCGTTTTCCTGCTCTTGTTAGAGACATGAGTACAGAGAAATATTTCCCTATTATGAGAAAAACAACAACAAATGTGGTGATAAATGGCAACCGAAACTGCTTCAGTTAGAGACTGTAGCGTCTGGTGGCGGAACTCGCCACTTGGATAGAATAGACCTGGTTTAAAGATGTCAGGAGATGCTCAGCTCCAGCCAGTTGCTGTCTATTGGAATTGGGCCCCCGTGTTGGCAGATATTTTGTTCTTTATGAGGAGCCAGAAATCTGGACATCATGGACCATATTTGCATTTTAAAATAATGGCTCCAAGTCCAGGCCAAACAACACAAGTCATAGGCCAGGTGCAATCCCAGGCCAGTAGTTGGCTAGCTTTTGTCTAAAGTATAAGCTCTTTAGAACAGGGACTTATTTTGTTCATTGATAGTCTCCATGCCGGTAACAGGTCCCCTCAGATATCTGGTAGTCAATAAACTTGTTGAATAAAAGAAAGATGACAGGGACGCTGTCCTTAAAAAGTTTTAGGGATTAGGTGGTAGTGATTGCCTAAAACATTTCTCCAGAGAGAAAGATGATAATATCTATTGAGCACCTATTATATATTGTACATAAAAGTACATTATCTCATTTAATGCTTCTACAAGCCTATTTAGGGATTTTCCCTCCCCTGCTTTCTGTGAGGAAACAGGCGGAGAGAGGTGAAGTCACTTGCCCAAGACCATGCAGCCAGTCAATGAAAAGCCGGTGGCCTCTGATGCAACTGCAAGTCTACTGATTTGCTGTTTGAGCAAACCCATTCATTTCTGGTGGGTATTTTAGCTGCCCGTATGAGAATTGGAGCATATTGAAAAATGAAGCGTCTTCCAAAGGTTTGAGCCATCTAAAGCACTTCTGTGACTACATTCGTTGTAATTTGATAAACTTTTTTGGTGATGATGGCATCTTCTCCCTAATGATTAATGAAGGGGAAAAGGAAAGGATGCTAATATTTATTTTGAACTATATGGCAGACCTTTTTTTTTTTGTTTTTTATTTTTTGTGAGGAAGATCAGCCCTGAGCTAACATCTGATGCCAGTCCTTCCCCTCCCCCCCTTTTTTTTCTGAGGAAGATTGGCCCTGGGCTAACATCCGTGCCCATCTTCCTCCACTTTACATGGGGTGCAGCCACAGCATGGCTTGACAAGCAGTGCGTCAGTGCACACCAGGGATCCGAACCTGCGAGCCCCAGGCAGCTGCAGCGGAGCATGAGCACTTAACTGCTTGCACCGGGTGGGCCCCCAGACCTTTTAATATCCATTAACTAATTTTTTTTCCAATTACTTACTTTCTTATTTATTTTTTTGTGAGGAGATCAGCCCTGTGCTAACATCTGCCAATCCTCCTCTTTTTTTTTTTTTTTTTTTTTT